TGGCCAACATGGCAAAACCCTGTCTCTACTAAAAATACAAAAAAAAAAAAAAAAATTAGGCGTGGTGGCACATGCCTGTAGTCCCAGCTATTCGGGAGGCTGAGGCAGGTGAATCGCTTGAACCTGAGGCAGAGTTTGTAGTGAGCCGAGATTGCACCACTGCATTCTCCGTCTCAAAAAAAAAAAAAAAAAGGGAAAAGAAAATTAGCATTATCAGCATACCAGGGGTAGCTTTTTGTCCATTTTGTTCACTGTCTATTCCCAGCACTGAGAACAATGCAGGCACACAGTCGTTAAATAAAAATGTTTATTAGGGCCAGGCGTGGTGGCTCATTCCTGTAACCCCAGTGCTTTGGGGGCCAAGGCGGGAAGATCGCTTGAGCCCAGGAATTTGAAATCAGCCTGGGCAACACAGTAAGACTCCATCTCTACAAAAAAACAAAAAATTAGCTGGGCATGGTGGTACCTGCCTGCAGTCCCAGCTACTCAGGAGCTTGAGGAGGAGGCAGGAGGATTGCTTGAGCCCAGGAGTTCCAGACTGCAGCTTTGATGGCGATCACACCGCTGCACTACAGCCTGGGCAGCAGAGTGAGACCGTGTATCTTTATTTCATTATTTTTTTTTAGACGGAGGCTCACTCTCTTGCCCAGGCTGGAGTGCAGTGATAATGATTTCAGCTCACTGCAACCTCCGCCTCCCAGGTTCAAGTGATTCTCCTGTCTCAGCGTCCCAAGTCGCTGGTATCACAGGCACCCGGCACCACGCCCAGCTAATTTTTGTATTTTTGGTGGAGATGGGGTTTCACCATGTTGGCCAGGCTGGTTTCCAACTCCTGACCTCAGGTGATCCACCCGCCTTGGCCTCCCAAAGTGCTGGGATTACAGGCATGAGCCACTGTGCCTGGCAGAGACCCTATCTCTTTAAAAAAAAAACCAAAAATGTTTATTAGATGAATGAGAGAATCCTGACATGAGCAGACACCTCGTGCTGTGTGGTGGAGGCGGACAGGCCCTGTGGGGAGTTGGGACACACTCGTGTGGCAGCTGCCCCCAGTCCTGACGCCCCACCCCTGCTTCCCTAGGCTGCAGGCCAACTTCACCATCCGGGAAGATGCCAACCCCAGCTCCCGCCAGCGAGGACTCAAGCGCTTCCAGGCCAACCCGGAGGCCAACTGGGGTCCCCGGCCTCGTGCCCGGCCAGGGTGAGTGGTGGTAGAGTTGGGGTGGGGCTCAGCCAGGGAAAGCAGAGGTAAAGGGCAGATGAGGTCCCACCTACTCCTCCCCTCGCACAGGGGCAAGGCGGCCGACGAAGCTATGGAGGAGAGACGCAGGCTGCTTCAGAACAAGCGGAAGGAGCCGCCGGAAGATGCGGCCCAGCGGGCTGCGCGGCTCAAGACATTTCCTTGCAAGAGGTTTAAGGAGGTAAGGTCCCTCCTCCCTTTCTCCCACGACAGGACATGTGAGTCTCCCCTTTGGGCAACAGGGAGAGAACTGGGGGAGCTGGAGCCAGGCAAGTGCTTGGGAGTGGGCTTCCCATTCCAGGAAAGGAACCCATCAGGGGCTGCTGAGCTCGAGGCAGGGGTTCACACCCACCATCTTCCCACCAGGGCACCTGTCAACGCGGGGACCATTGCTGCTACTCCCACAGCCCCCCGCCACCCAGGGTTTCTGCTGATGCTGTCCCTGACTGTCCAGAGACCTCCAACCAGAGCCCCCATGGACCTGGGGATGCCGCTAGGCCAGGCATAGACTGAACCAATAAAGAGATGTCACGTCACCTTCTCCCGATTGCCTGTGATTTGTGTATTGGTCCATACAGCTGCATGACTGGGATCTGTTCCTGTCTTCCTCTGGGGGTCGTTCGCCCCTGCCTGACTGGAGTGTTGAGCCTGTATGGGAGGTAGGAGCTGACCATCTGCACAGTGGTCGGCCCCTCTGCAGCGAGGGTCACTGAGCCACCCCAGAGTCGGAGCCTGCGGTTCCCGAAGTGGCCACGGTGCGGCAGCTGTGCGCTGGCTCCCGCGGGGGGTTCTGTGCCTCTTCCCCCTCCCACCTTCAGCGCGCTCCAGGCCGCGGGCTTGCGCATAGGGGGGCGCTCCAGCCCGGTAACCCCCACGTGTCCTCGCGCTGCTGCCTCCTCGCCGCCTGGTTTCTTTGGCCCAGCTCTCCAGGGGCCGCAGTGGCGGAAGCTGGACCGGAACCAGGCGCCCTGTGCATCCGCTCCAGACCAGGTGCTTCCTGCCCTGAGGCCCGAGGGGGCGTGCACACAAAGAGGGACCTCGCAGGCTGCTGCCCAGACACCCAGTGAGGGGGAGCTGTACCCCTCCCTGCCCTCCAGAGCGGGCTTTAGTAACGTTAAGGAAGAGTTCTGGGGCAGGATCCCCTCTCTGGCTCCTGTGCCCTTCATCCCCATATGTAATGAGGCTAATCTTAGGACCCTCTTTGTAGGAATATCAGAGTTAGTTTCAGTGCTTAAACTTTTTTTTTTTTTTTTTTTTTTTTTGAGGCAAGGTCTAGATGTATGGATGGCCCAGGCTGGAGTGCAGTGGTGCAATATTGGCTCACCGCAACCTCCACCTCCCAGGCTCAGGCCATGCTCCCACCTCAGCCTCCAGAGTAGCAGGGACTACAGGCACACACCACCACAACCAGCTAATTTTTGTATTTGTTGTAGAGATGGGGTTTCGCCATGTTTTCCAGGCTGGTCTCAAACTCATGAGCCCAAGCAATCCGCCAGTCTCAGCCTCCCAAAGTGCTGGGATGACAGGCATGAGCCACCACGCCTGGCCTTTATTGCATAAAACTTTAGTTCCTGCTTCTTTGGAGGAAAGCAATGGAGGTGTTGATCGTGAGGTCCTGTGTTCCGCCCCATTCCTGGGGGGGTGGTAGTAGTCCTGGTGCTGGGTGCCTGCCTGGGGGCTCTTGCAGTTGCCCAGACACACACATGGGCCAAAGCATGAGTATCACAAGTGGGCGGCAGTCCTGTAGCTGCTGCGGCCTGGCTGTGCCCAGAGCCTCTCCCTGTGGGAAGCTCCAGTGGGGTCTTGAGGTTTACCACCAAGCCAGGATACCTGCCCCCCATGAAGGGGTCGGGTGCTGTGGGGTGAGGGCCACGGACCACCAAGTTGGAGTTATGTGATGCTGTAGCCAAGAGGCCTAGAACTGTGGGGACCTGTTGGGCATCTACTGGAAGGTCACACCAGCCTCAGCACCCTGGGAAATCCAACTTCCCACCCCACCCCCGACAGCCATGGCACTTCCTCTCACCCTCCTGGGCTTGGAAATATGTGGATACTGTGCTGAGGGCTTGGGACACCTGCCCAGGCTGGACACCCAAGGCCAGACTGTTAGAACTGTTTCCCTTTGGGTGCCCCACTCCCGGGTAGGGGTGGTGGAGAGGCGGGAAGGGCCTCTGTAAAAAGAGGAACCAAGCTGGGTGAAGACAGGAGAAGGTGGGGGCCCAGGGTCACGCGGCCCCAACGGGCCGGAAAGGGCTCTCCCTCACCCCCATCAGCATTGACATTCGGGCAGGGAGTGTTCAAAGCCAAAGGGCAGACTCAGAGGACATAAGAGGAGGCAGCTTCCCTGCCTCAGTTTACCCCCTGTGTGCATCCAGGCACCTTCCTCCCCGGCTGCCCTCGGGCCCGGGTCCCCAGAGGCCCGGAGTCCCTCCAGTGCCTGGGGGAGCGGAAGGCGAAGCCCTGAGGGGTGGCGGACCGAGTCCTGCCAGCGCCGGCTGGGGGCGGGGCCGGGAGGCCCGCGCTGCTAGGTCCCCGCCCGCTGGTTTCCTCCGGGGTCAGCCCGGCTCCTTATCAGGCGCGGCCAGGCAGCCCGGCCCTTATCTGCCCTGGGCCAGCATCCTCCGGCCGCTGCGCCGCCAGGGGTGAGAGGGAGGAAACCGGGCCGCCGGGGGCGGGGAGAGGGAAGGCCGGCCCAGGAGCCGCTCACTTTCCCTGGAGGAGACCTAAGCGGAGACCTCGGCTATCCTGGCCCTCCAAGGCCCACGAGGAGGCGCGGCCCAGCGCCGGGGCCTGGAGCATTGAGGCCGGACCCGAGCGAGACAGCAGAGCCTGGCCTGACGCTGGAAACCACACCCTGGCCCAGACTGCCAACCCTGACGGGACAGAGCCAGGGCACTCACCAGGCTGCAGGAACAGTGCTGGGGTAAGAAGGGAAATGGCCTAAAGGTGGAGGATCCCAGGCCTGGGACCCAGCCTGCATTCCTTTGTTCGTTCGTTCGTTCATTCATTCATCCATTCATTCATCCATCCATCCATCCATCCATCCATCCATCCATCCATCCATCCATCAGCAGGGACCTACTTGTGAGGGGCCAGGCCTGCTTCCCCAGGCCCTAGCTGAGGAAGACAGGGCAGAGGGGCCAAGAGTCTCACACCTTGCTAGGACATCCTGGACTCTGGAACCAAGAGCAAACAGGGATGTCAAAACAGTATGCAAAAGTGTGGATGATGGAGGGGCATGGTGGTGCATGCCTGTAATCCCAGCACTTTGGGAGACTGAGGCGGATCACTTGAGCCCAGGAGTTCCAGACCACCCTAGACAACAGAGTGAGAACCTGTCTCTATTGAAAAATTAATTTTTTTTTTTAATTTAGCTGGGCATGGTGGCACATGCCTGTACTCTCAGCTACTCAGGAGGCCGAGACAGGAGGATGGCTTGAGCCCAGGAATTTGAGGCTGCAGTGAGCTATGATTGCACTACTGCACTCCAGCCTGGGCAACAGAGGGAGACCCTGTATCTAAAAAATAAACAAATTTTAAAAAGTGTGGATGCTGATGAGGGTGGGGGCTTCCAAGCCAGAGGGAGGGTTGGGACATGACTGGACTGGGCAGTGGGGTCAGTGTTTGGGGGTCTAGGGTCAGCATTGGAGGTCATAGTGTCAGTAGTGGGGTCACAGGGTTGCTATGGGGGACGTTTGCAGTAGGAGTGGGGGTCACTAGAGCAATTACAGAGCACTTTCAGGGACAGCAATGGGAAGAACTACAGGGTCATTCCTGAGGTGCAGAGGGTCAGCCTGGGTGGGGGGTGGGGGGCATCTGTGAAAGGTCAGAGTCCATCTTAGGGGGATTCCAAGCTCACATGGCATCAGTGAGTCAATGAGGAGTCTCTGGATCGGATCTTTAGATCTGAGGGTAACAGGGTTAATCTTGGGGTTTCTGGAGATCCCAGGATCAGTTAGGGGCTCCCTGTCTTGTTCCCTCCAGGCTGCAGAGGTGAGGGAATTCTGGCAGAAGGAATATTTGCTCCGAGGCGGGGCAACAGCGCCCCTCCTGGGTCACAAAGAGCGCAGGGACAGTGCGCTGCCTAGCACCTAGGTGGGCGCCTCCTACTCTAATGCAGGACCCCTCCCATGTCCTGGAAGTTTCTGGGCCTGCCCCTGCCATCTGCCTTTGCCTACTGAAACCCCTCCCCTCCTCCTTCCCCCCCCCTTCCCATTTGAGGGGTTTTTTGGGCTAAGAAGGTGGGAGCGGGGCACCTAGTCCTCCTTCCCACTGGCTGCCTTCTTTCCCACAGGTGAGTACCCCCACGTCGGGGTCCATGTGCCCGCCTCAGGCACAGGCAGAGGTGGGCCCCACCATGACTGAGAAGGCAGAGATGGTGTGTGCCCCCAGCCCAGCGCCTGCCCCACCCCCTAAGCCTGCCTCACCTGGGCCCCCGCAGGTGGAGGAGGTGGGCCACCGAGGAGGCTCCTCGCCCCCCAGGCTGCCACCTGGTGTACCAGTGATCAGCCTGGGCCACAGCAGGCCCCCAGGGGCAGCCATGCCCACCACAGAGCTGGGCACCCTGCGGCCCCCGCTGCTGCAACTTTCCACCCTGGGAACTGCCCCACCCACTTTGGCCCTGCACTACCACCCTCACCCCTTCCTCAACAGGTCAGTGGGGAGCTGGGGCGGGGTGGGGTGGGGATTGGGGGCCAGGGTCCTTGCCCACAAGGCATTAGTGACCCACGACCCCTTACAGTGTCTACATTGGGCCAGCAGGACCTTTTAGCGTCTTCCCTAGCAGCCGGCTGAAGCGGAGACCAAGCCACTGTGAGCTGGACCTGGCTGAGGGTGAGTGTGGGTTTGTGTGCCTTGTGGGTTTGCGTGCCTGTGTGTGCACTTGTGGGTGCACGGAAGGCCGGGCTGTCTCTGTGTGGGGCTCATGTCTGTCCTCTACTCCCACCTTGGGGAGAAGTGCTTCCAGCACACACAGAGAACAGCCCACACGGGTTCTACCCATGTGCACAACCGCAGTCCCATAGCCAGCCCCACACAACCACTGCCACGCAACAGGCCAGGCCTTGTAGCCGCAGTCATGGCAAAACAGAGCATGCCGTACCAGGTATGGGAGCCACAAAATGACAGCTCCACTAGAACGTGCAGCCACGCAAAAGACAGCCACAAGACCACAGCCATGCAAGAGACAGCCACAGGACCACAACCACACACAAGACAGCCACAGGACCACAGCCACTTAGGACCATGGCCACACAAGAATCAGCCACACAACCACAGCCACTCATGAAACAGCCACATGGCAACATCACACATAACCACAGCCATGAGACATAAGAGTCTCATACAGCCTATGAGACACAGGACAGTCAGTCATAATGAGAGGACCTCTCAGACCCACGAGCACACACACCCAGCCAGCCACACTTGGGCACACTCTGAATGAAGTCCCCAGGGACAGCTTCCTAAACCACCACCAGGAAATCTTTCCTTAGGGAATCTCAGTCATTGACATAAAGGAGCCCATAGTCACAGACACAGCAGGCCATTGTCCGCAGGCCGGGCCTGTGATGATTCTTGTCTGGGTGGCTTCTGGGAGGGGTGGGGAGAGCTACCCGTGGACCCCTTGGGTGGAGAAAGTCCCAGCCCATGGCCTGGGTTTAAGTTCTCAGGAGGGTGCTGCGTGCCTAGCGGGAGGGCAGGAGAGGCTGCCCTTTGGGCCATGGCGCCAACCCGGCCTTCCTTGTCCACAGGGCACCAGCCCCAGAAGGTGGCCCGGCGCGTGTTCACCAACAGCCGGGAGCGCTGGCGGCAGCAGAACGTTAACGGCGCCTTCGCCGAGCTGAGGAAGCTGCTGCCGACGCACCCGCCCGACCGGAAGCTGAGCAAGAACGAGGTGCTCCGCCTAGCCATGAAGTACATTGGCTTCCTGGTGCGGCTGCTGCGCGACCAAGCGGCAGCTCTGGCCGCAGGCCCCACCCCGCCCGGGCCCCGCAAACGGCCGGTGCACCGGGTCCCAGACGACGACGCCCGCCGGGGATCCGGACGCAGGGCCGAAGTGGCAGCGCGCTCGCAGCCCGCGCCCCCGGCCGACCCCGACGGCAGCCCCGGTGCGGCGGCCCGGCCAATAAAGATGGAGCAAACCGCTTTGAGCCCAGAGGTGCGGTGACCGCACGCGCCAGCATTTCTGAGCCGGAGGGCACCAGGGACTCGGCCCAGGGCCGTCGAGGAAAGGGCAGTGGACGTGCTGCGCGTGTTCGGGTGCGAACTCCCCCGAAGAAGGACCAGTGAAGACGTCAGGGGCAAGGTCTCGGGGGTCCGGAAGGGTGATCATCGCCCCCCAAGGGACCCGCAAACTCTTAAAAAAAAAAATCACCCACCGCCCTGTGGAAGTGGCCTTGCCTGGTTCCCCTTCGCAGGGGCGCGGTTGGCAAACTAACATGGCAGAGCAGTCACAGGACCCAAGTGGTGCCTCATTTTTTCCGGGCTGGGTTCGCGGGGGGAGGCCAGGAGGGGCTGGGGAGCCTTAGCTTTTCTCACCGTCGGCCCCTCCCGGAGACCCAGGGACAGACGCTTGTCGACGGCGTCTGCTGCGCTCGCGGCGCTTGGAGAGAGGCGCAGAATCCAAGTTGGGGACGCACCCTACCGACCCCGACCCAGTCCCGCACGGTCGCGTTAGCGAAGGGTCAGGCGCTCCTGCGTTTGTTTTTCTTTATTTCTTTATTTCACATACACATTAGCCATTCAATGGAGAAGCCGGAGAGAGTCAGGCAAAGATGGTATAACAGAAGCGCAGTGACGGGGGCGGGGTGGGGCGGGGCGGAGAGGGAACAGACGGGCTGGCTGCCTACTTGCATTCCGCTAGGACACTGAAAACCCAGAAAACAAAACAGACAGTAAACTACCCTTGTTTCTTATGTATCTCAGTGCAGAGACGGGGGTGGAGGGCAGAGAAGAGGGGGAGACCAGGCTGAAGGAGGAGGAGCAGAGGGAAGGGGACGCTAAGGGGGAAGCACACCAAATCCATTAGTACTATATATAGATACTCGTATATACTGCGTTTCTTAGCCTAAGAAGAAACTTGTTTGACGGGACGGGCGGCCTTTGCGGTCCGCGATGCTGGTGCTGGTCGGGCGCACGGATCTCCCGGGAGGGGCCGAAGCGGGGCTGGCCCAGGCTGGCTTGCGGGGGGAGGGGG